AAAGTGCATCTTATAAACTGAAAAATATGGTATATGTAAAATAGGCAGTATACAACAGAATATGAACAAACATGCCAAGGAAGCAGAAGGTCATTCTAAGTCCCTAAACACTGATAAATAAACAAAACTAATGTAACAGTAATTATTCACAATCACATATTTTCCTGTCAAAAATTTAAACATGTCCTTATTAACAGGTAAGCTATTCCTCAAGGTATAACAGTCCTAGTGACACAGAAATAATTCTGCATAATAAGTCTTGATCTAGTTTTCCATAGCTTTTGCATAATGTCTCATTTTCAAGTTACCAATACATGTTTTATGAAGCTAAGAGATTAGAAATATGCTCAGTAGGTATCCAAGCCTCTAATGCTTTTTGAAGCCTAAATAATATCACCTTTTGCTCTCCTAATATATAAAAAAAGTGCACATTTTTAAGATTTTTATTTTAGCTCAAATTTTCTATACCAGGTATTATTCTGGTAGTTTTTTTCCATACCTTGTGAGGTGGTATTTGTTTATATATTTTAATTATTACTGTATCTACATATCTGTCATTTTATTGAGCAGTTTCTTAAGTTTATTTATGCATGATATCAACTCATACTTATTAGACTTAATTGTAACACTAGTCTCACAGTGATAGAAAATGACTGAAACTAAGTGGTGGTATGGTCTTTGTCACAGGTAGTTATATGGTATGCAGGCATATCATGCATTTTTCCCCTTGTCTTAATATATTATATTTTCAAAATTTGATGGTTATTCTGTTATTTTTAGTTTTCACATAACATATGTTGAAGAAAGTCATTAAGGTGCTTTCATTCTAAGTACCTTTGTTCTTTTTTATTCTTATGAGATAAAGCCATGTCTGCCTGTGTCTGCAAAGCTGAATTTTGTGCATGGATGTCAACAGCATTATCCTCCAATGGTAGGACAAGTGATGGCTTGAGGTTACAACTTCCCTTAAGTTTCAGTGAGAATGACCAGTCAAGTGGGTCATGCTTGTTGTTCTGAGTATGGTTAAGTAACGTTATGTTTGTTCATTCTAACGGAAATCTTCATTGAATGCTGTTTGGAGAAAGAACAGTTCAGTTCCAGTAAAAGCAACTGTCCAGCATCCAAAGCAAGTACACTCTCTGTGTTTGTGTTCTAAGTAATATAAGATTGTTCATCTTGTCATACATTGTGTCCAGTCTCTTTATTTCCTTTTCATAGACTCAATCAGTTTCAGAGAATTCAGAACTACTCTGTAATAAATACCTTGTTTGAATCTCCCACTATTCTGCAGGCTTACCTTGTCACCCTTAGGGGAAATCAGTTTCCTCTGTGAATACCACAGCTATAGTCATGGAAAGAAGTTAGTTGTCTTATGTAGATAAGTGTTTATATGATCATATGTAAATTATTCTTTATGTAAATAAGTTGATCACATGTTTTGCCAATAGCCAATAATAATAAAAGTATGAGTAGAAAAACAAAAAGAACTGAAGACTGCATAAGCTAGTTGCTCAATAACATGGAGTTTTAGACCGGGTTTTATTTCAAACTTGTTAAATCTTATAAATATTGTAGTTATAATTAATCAGAGAGTTTGTAAGTGTTTTATTACAAAACAGATTTTGTGAAGTTAGGTTTTTTTTTCCTTGCCTTCTTGTATCCAAGTTTTTGTTATCTTCTTTAGGATTTAAAATAAAGCTTTGTATGAGACTCTGGTTAGACTTCACATGTTATGTCCAGTTTTGGGCTTTTTAACATTCAAGTTTTTGTTATCTTCTTTAGAATTTGTTTTAGATGTCAATTGTATCTTCTGTAATGTTACTTTAGTGGTTTCCAAATAACAGAAAGAAAACTAGTATGCTAGAAAACACTGTAACAAATCTTTTATTGTACAATAAAAATAATCAGAATATTAATTCTAAGATCCTTAAAAAAAATAGAGTATTTCACTGACTGAACAGAATTAAGTTTATAATTTGAAAATGCCAGGCCCAGACTTCTACAAATGATATAACTGAATTCCAAACTACTGACTGAACGATATAGTCTCAATGTTAAAAAGCCCAAAACTGGACATAACATATGAAGTCTAACCAGAGTCTCATACAAAGCTACAATAACTTAGCAATAGTTTTGACAACCAGACACTCACTTTTAAAACTGTTTTCAACAATCTCTCTCTAATCCTTTTTGTACAGCACTAATGTTCATCTCGTGTAACACTATAAACTTTATTCAAATAACTGTACTATCTTAAATGTGTGACATTGCACTTATTAATATTAAACATATTTTTATGCATGTTCATCCACTCATTATGCTTCCTCAGAAAATGGTTTTCCCAGAAACTTAATATCATAAGAAAATAAAACTCAAGTTACATGTATTATTATATAATGGACAACTAAAATAAAAAAAAAGACCCTTGAAGAACTCTATTGGTTATATTCATCCAGTCTGGACAGTGTCTGCTTATTATCACAATCTGTTTTCTATCATGACTTTTTCCCACTTCAACTCGTATTTTTTTCAAGATAAATATCCAATCTATCATTACCTACCATCCAAGGTTTCAAGACATCTGCAATACTTACAAAACAAATAACCATCAGAAAGTTATGTCCACTTATGTTCATCTGTGTGGTATTTTCATATTTAATTATTTCCTTTTGAGTAATCAAGTAGGAGCAACAGAATAATAGCAGGCTCACCAGAACATGTTCCAAAACTTACATACCTCTGCTGCCGCTTATAGCTATTTCTCGATCTCCATCTTCCGTTGTTCTTTGCCATCTAAATATTGTGGTAGCTTGTTTCAGTCTTTTATACCCCACTCGACTGCCCTCAGAAATATGTAATTTGCAAAACTTTACACTGGTCCTTACACGACCTCTATGCAGGCACTGTATATAAGCACTGTATGCAGACAAAGTACAGGTGCTAAGAATCAAATTTTGTGGTTCACATTTTCATTGGTAAAATTTTGCAAGTAGTGTGGTGTTCTTTTTGTTTTTTCCCCGGTGCTGACATTTCATTGTTTTTATTCTGTGGTTAAGAAAAAAAAATTTGTGTGGGTATGAATTCCTGTTTAACAGTTTCTGGCACGGAGGCTCCCCAGACCTCGTCCATTCCTCCTTTTTTGTCTCGTGGTAGTCAGCAGTTGGGGGGGTGGGGCACTCTCTGTGGAGGCTGTCCATGACCTAATTTGGGGTGAGATGAAGTCCTTCATGTGGCCTGAGGGTTCAGAGTTGACTTTTAATTATGAACCTGAATACACTGGGGAGAATTTAGACACACTGTTTCTTGCTCCTTCTTCCTCTAGGGCTGCCTCTACTGAGAGCTCATTTTATCAGCCACTTTCTGCCCCTTTTCTGCAGTTAGTTACGCAAGTTTGTGAAGTGTTGAGGATTAATCCCGTTGTTTTTGAGTCTACTCCTGCCTTGTTGTCAGATAGATCTCGGGGGATTACTTAGTTCTTTCTCTTTCCCATGATATTGCCATGCTTGCAGGGAGGTTTGCAATGCAATTACGAGAGGGTATCGCAATGCCTTGCTCCCCTCATTTATCAGAACAACATGCTGACTTATCATCATCAGGATGAAGTATATTTGGACACTCAATCGTTGGATCCATTGTTGGATCTATGTGGTTCCATGTTAGAATCTGTTATCACTCTTAAAAGATCTCAATTTTTGTGGATTCATTTGGCTCTTACTACTGTATTGCGATACTTCTCTTCCCTTCACCTTTTGTCTGAAGCATATCAAACCTATCCTCATCAATTTGATGACGAACTGGGACCCTTATTGGTTACCACTATGGCTCGTTTGTCCTCTTCAGGCCTTGCCTTGGTGACGTGGTGGGTCTGTTGCTGGGACTTATTGAGTCGATATGCCTTGTTGGAGTATATTCGTTTGCCATCTACTGCTCTTTGTGATTTACGGGAGGCACCTTTTCTTCAGGCTTACTTGTTTGCCAGAGTCCTGGAAACTTTAGAAGCCTGAATTTATATGGCACATTTTCTTTATCATCATTGGCTGATAGCCTCTTTTCTACTCCAACAGGTAATTCTGGAGGATCAACCATTCGCGTCTCATGGCCCGCACCTTTGACACCTTGTGCTATTGGTTCACATATTTGGTTCTGTCCATATTTTCGGTGATCTTTGGACAGTTCAGGATGGCGCCAACAGCATTGGTGACTAACCATCTTCACCAGGTCTTTCACCATATTTGGCGTTCATTCACTATCTATCCTTGGGTTCTCAGAGTGCTGGATTTGGGGTTCAAGATTCAGTTTACTTCTCCCCCTCCATTGTCCTCCCATCTGGTTGTCTTTTCTCCTTCTTCAGACGTGTAAACATTCATTCCTGGGCCATTCAGGAGTTATTCAACAAATGAGACATCAAGAAGGTCTATCCCATTCATCCAGGATTCTATTCTGATCTATATCTGGTGCCCAAGAAAACTGGAGATTGGCATCCTATCATCAATCTGTCTCAACTCAATCACTTCCTACAATCTCCTCGTTTCACCATGGAATCTTTTCTTCAACTTTGATGGCACTTCATACCAGGTCTTTGGATGACCAATTTCAATGTTACAGATGTTTACCTTCACATAACCATAACAGAGTCTTCTCATCAATTTCTATGTTTTGTGCATGAGGACCAGGTGTTGCAGTTCTGAGCTCTCCCATTTGGACTTGCTTCAGCACCATATGTTTTCTGCTGAGTAGTACAGGCCTTTGCATGCCATCTCCATTTTCTGGGTCTATGCACACATCACTGTATGGACGATTGACTTCTTTTGGCACCAATCCGTCACGTTGCTGAACTACACACATTTTTCAAACACATATTTGAGCCAGGCTCAACCATCTACCCTCAGACTTCACAATATAGTAGGGATTGTCAGGTGTTTGCTTATGTCACCTTCTCCCCCTGCATGGATGGTTCTGTCTGTTTGGAAGATTTGGGCTTCCATAGAATCCCTTGTGCCTTTGGGTCGAGCCCATATGAGATCCCTTCAGTGGTCACTTCATGACCAGTGGCTCATGCATATTCATCCTTTGCTTGAGAACAATTTTGCAGATCTCAAGTGGTGGCTAGACAGGAACAACATGACTATTGGGGCCGAATATCCATCTCTTCACAGATGGGTGCTTTTC